AACATGTATTGGTCCAAATCGAATTGTGTTGGAGATAATATATAATATACATGTGACCCTATCTAAGATCTTAAGCATTTAGATCAAGTGATTTAATATGGTATCAGAGATAGCAAAGATCTTGAGTTCAAGTCTCACCATCACCCATTTAATAAAATTGTCCACGTGTTATGCTTTGATGGGAGAAAATGAATTTCACATACATGTAAGGGTGCAGGTTGAAGATAATATACCTATCTATTAACTTAAGCTTTTAGATCAAATCGTTCAACAAATTTCTAAATGAGGAAGCTCAGTATCATTGAATTCTTCTTTTGAGAAAATTTTTGGGATATATTTGATGGATTTAGGAAGATTATGTTGATTATAAACAGAATTGGATAGAGAACGAGAACAAACATTAGCATAAATGTTGTGGACAATCTGAAAATTTAGTGCTAAGTGGTGACATGAAACTTGATGGAAAACTTTTTAACATAGTTATTTTAGCAGCTGGGCACCAAAACCATTGTGGCATCTTCTGTAGGAGGATTGGACTCGACAATATTAAGGAAAAAATAAAAGCTAAAATCTTTTCCATATCTAATACTTTTCAATAGTGTGTACCAAAAGTGTAAATGTCAGGCTTCCTAGGTTCTTCATGTCTTAACATTGGGGTATTAAATATGACAAGAAATACGGAAAATGGTCAAGTTTTTGTTTCAAGCAAAGTCCGTTGAATGATTTTTGTCTCCATGGGCAATCAAAATTAATTAAAACACATTAAGCTGTGTGATGCTGGCTTCTTGTTTGTCTAATTTTTGTGATGCCCTGTTGTTTCATTGCTGTCAGTTACACAGTGCATTCTTTATTTACTTGCTGTTTCATATTACTCATTCCAGATAGCCAGAAGGACTCGAAGGCGAAAAGTTTGACACATGGGTAGTGTAACATAATCAAAGGTTGACTTTCCTGGACAAGGGCAGTGGGCGTGTAGACCTTGTCATTCAGCTGAGATCAACAGGTTTAAAGGTGTTTAATTTGATTTATGGCAACAAAGAGCTTAAAGTTATAGCTGAGATTATTTATTTCTGTCCTTTTTGTTGCCATTAATTTGATGGTTTAATACAAATATCTTGTGCATAGACCTCTTGAATCTTACATAACTATACTTCTCAACATGCTTTTTTTTTTTTTTACCATGAGACTTGTTTTTTGAACAAGTTACTTTCAGTAATTTCTACTTAGAGGAACGCATATATAATTGATTTACAGTTACTAATTAGTAGTGTGTAGATACTAAATCTCGATTTACAGTGTAAAGTTGACAGATGAGATACTCTTCTTACCATTCTACATAAATATATACACCACATATATGCTAAATCACTCACAATTTCAGTTAAAGTAAAAAAGTTAACTTGTTTTTAATTTTAAAAGCTTATGAGTTTTTATTTTTTAAAACTTATTTACTTACATTTCAAAGGAGTATTAATAAAAAATTTTAATAATTAAATTCAGCTAATAGTTTCCTTATTATTCATAGAGTAATCCCATTTGTACACTTTTTTATACATTAATTTTGACACTCCTCTCACAAAAATATGGGGCCCGTGATTTTGTAAATTGCAGGCCCCCCCCACCTTTGTGAGAGGAATGTCATGCATGATGTACACCAAAGAGTGTACATCAAGCACGACTCTTATTCATATGACAACATGACATGGTGAATAAATGTGTAACACCTCAAATTTAAATACCCTAGATTTAAAAATATTATTATTTAGTTTTATGATTTTTATTTATGAAAAGAAATTATAGAATATTTTTGTATTAAATAAATATATATGATAATTAAATAAAATGCTAGCTTTATTACAAAATGAAATCAATATTTAAATGTGTTATTGCTAAAATTGTCTTACAAGTGGCCTCAAATCGTTTTGCATTCATCATGTGAAAATTGAAGAGGATTATATAGAACCATAGTTATTAAAATTGGATTGGATCTGAAATTGTCGAATCAGGTAGTAGTCCGATCAAGTCAAATAAGCAAAGGAACAAATCAAGAATCGATTAAACAACTCAATAACTGTTTGGTTAGGACAAATTTAAAAGGAAATCGAAATTGGTTCAATGTGTGAACCTGATGGTTACTCGAAATTGGTTCAATGTGTGAACCTGATGGTTACCAAAGTCCAATATAAAATTTTTTTATTCAATTTGCAATGGCAGTGATTCAAGCTGGACTTCTAGCACGAAATTTCACTTCCTAGATCATTTATGGAAATTGATGAACTTTTGTAATAAAATGACAAGCAAAATGTATATATTTAGAGTTAACAAAATAATTCTCTTTTCATTTCAAATATATTTTATTAATTAAAATTTCAATTGGTGTGATCCACCGGTTGAACCACTGACCCGCTACTCGATGGCCTTTTCTGCATTAACTACCAAGTCAAGTCTTAAATCTCTTAAATGACTCATAATTTTGTTTGGCTCTATTATCACCATGCGATCACACTGCCTAATGGGCTGCAATAGATTGGAGCAATTATTTTGCTTACCGCTTTTACGTCTCACATCGCTGCAATCGCAACGCACAGGAGTGCAATTGCAGTTTTGAACTTTTAGCTCCTTTTTTTCATTTTGGTCCCTAAATTTCTTCCTTCACTCAGTTTGAATCATTTCTATGTTCTCTTTTGGTCCTTCATCTTAAGTTGTTCGTAATTTAGTCCTTCATATTCCACAATCATTAATAATTGACCCGGCATAAGTTTTGAAAGTTTGCAATTTAATCCTCAAAATTTACAATTAATGGATTTAATCCTGAAACTTGTGATTCTCCTCCAATTGCTTCCTTAATTCTTCATATTGAATAATTGCAAACCGTTTGATCATCAACAACTCCCAATCAACTCCAAATAAGCTCCAAGTGTAACCAAATTGAGATTGTACCAACAATTAACATATTTAACCTAAATTTGGTAGATACCTACTTAATTTAGCAATAAATAAGGTAGCATACATGCAAGATATGCCCTTGTCATTTATCCATTGCTCCTTTAACATGTTAAAAAAGTATCTAAGTTACAAACCAAATATTTCAAAATAAAAATAAAAATGAAGAAAGAATAAATATCTCTTCGTTCGTGATATGCGATTGAAACACCGTCGGTGATTGATGATGACATTACTATTGATAATTGCCGGTGGATGTTCATCAGCAGCAATTATTGATGAATTGTTGATAGTAATTACTGTAATTACGCTCGATACAAAATTTAAAAGAGTGCTCATCTTTCATTCAATTACAAATCACACATAATGAAAAATATTAAAAGCTATTGCATATTAATTCGTCGAATATAAAACTATTACCTAACAAAAATATAACATCTAAATAATTTATTTATTTGTGCCTTTTTCTCCTAAGAATTGTGTATTTTATTTAACTTGACATTTTTAAAAAAAAGTTAATGCATACACACACACACATCTTCTATATATTAAAAGTGGGTATGTAACGGAATTTCTTGTTTTTAACGGAAAAACTAACGGAATTTGTTGTTTTAACGGATTATGTAACGTAATTTCTTGTTTTAAACAGGCAGCTGCATCTTCCTTCAATGTTTTTATCATAACTTTGTATTCCGATATCCGATTGAGGCGATTCAAAATGCGTTGGAAAGCTAACTTATCTGACTACAACTTTGATTCCATCATTCTCCAATTCGATCACTTTCTATACCAAAAATAGGTCTCAATATGAGACTAAAATATCGGACCATAACTTTTCGGTTGGAAATTGATTTGTGATCATTTTTTTTGGCTAAATTTGATTCTATTGACGTCTTCTTTTATCCAATTGACTCCGAGCACTCTCAAATCTTCATCGTGAGGTTCGGCACAACTTTTAATTATTTACATTTTAGTCCCCGCACATTGGATCCCTTACAATTTAGCAATTTCTCTAAAATCTCAAATCTTCATCGTGAGGTTCGGCACAACTTTTAAGTATTTACATTTTAGTCCCCGAACTTTGGATCCCTTACAATTTAGCCATTTCTCCAAATTTGTCAACTTTTGCTTATTTTCTTCGATCTCACCAACTTACATCACAACATCAAAATCACACATCTAATTATTTATCAATTACATAAACATTACATCATTAATTATTTAATTAACCAAAAAAGTTACATCTTTATTAATAACAAATTAATTCTTAAACAAAACTATTAAATATAAACTAGGCAAACATGCATTGCACGTTGCTTCCACCTAGTATATATAATATATATTAGTACCAAATGAAAACTGATTGATTCCCATAATGTTTGAACTTTGAATCTCGGATTTTACTTATATTAGTACCAAATGATAAATTTTGCTTTTAATTCTCCTCGTGTGCATTTATTCTTGTCAGTGATTTTTTATTGTCCATTTTTCTGGTGGATCCCAAAATAAGCAAATTTGTTGTAGTATAAATTTCGAACAAAAACATAACCAAGTTACGTCCTATTTTATCGACATTGCCTGATCTTCCGCTGATTTCTTCATTCGACCTAAATTTTGAGGATTCGAAGCGAAGAATGCTCTTTGTATTAAGTTTATTCCAGTTCGTCTGTTCCTTACCTTCAACTATGCTATTTAAAGCTTATGGCTCCAGCTCCCATCTTCTTTTCGAATTCACAATTTTCGCAATTCTCAACTTCGAATTAAAATAATTAAAGCATCACTAAAATTCATTATTAATCATCCCAAAAGACATGTATATATTGAATAAAATGTTCAATTTAAGAACATTGGAATAACAAAATATAGAAAATTAGTTAAGAAATAAATAGTGTAAAGACAAAATGGTCAAAATGTCACATTTTTATAGTTAAATAAAAAAAAGGAAAAATAAGGGTCCCACAGTGCCTTTCTCGGCGAGGAAAAGAATAAACGCACAGCCAAAGAGAAAGTACATTCTACCTAAAAGCCAGCCGCTGTAGTTTTTTTTCTCACCGTCCATGGCGAAGTTGAACACCGACTCCGCTCTCTCCCGTCGCATCGCCGCCTCCTTCCTTCACTTCCTCAACTCCGGTACGCACCCATGTTCCCGTTAGTTTTATTTAGTTTGGTCGAATCCTTCCATTCGTAGATTTTTTTCTCTTTTATAATTTAGCGTGAATTATGAAATTTTATAAACTTTATTCTGGATAATTAATTCGTTTAAGTATGTTCCTGAACTTGAAGTCAACCCACAAGATTCAGTTCATACGCAGACACACACTGAAGGCACTGTTTGTTTTGTTTTGTTTTGTTTTGTTTTTGTATGTGATGTGCAGTTGAACCTGCATCTGGAGTAGATATCGAAGCGCTCGAGGTTGCTAGGGAATGCTTGGCCGAGGTTTTTAAGGTTGATCCATCTCAAGTTGAGAGCCGGTTGAATGGTGATTCGTTAATAGATATATTTAGTTCTCGGGAAGAAACTATGCTGAATGGGAGTAATAATGTGGGAGCTTCAGATGTACCTTCTACATCAGAGGGTTCACGGTCTTCGGTTATGTCATCATCCTTTAGCTGTTCATATTAATGATGATCACCGATAAACATTTAATTTTTGTGTTAACTTTTTTTATATCTGTGATATTTACATGATCTTTTGTGGGTTTTAAATTGAACACACCAAAATAAGGCATCACTTGAAGGCATTTTCAAATTGTGATTTATGTTTTTCTGCCTATATGCTGGAGCACACAGAAAAAAGAATCCATTAGTCTGTCCTGCATACAAAAATGTTTCATGAAAGAATTGAACAGTGCAGAAAACAAAACTGTTTGTTTGATGTGTCCAATGTTCTCTGTATTGTTTCTGGTGTAGTTTCAGAATTTTGTGAATTGACTTTATTTTGTTTCTTAATCAGGGTGAAGATTTGACAAGAGAAGCTCATTCACTTGGTAGGACTAAACCCCTTTCAAAGATGTTACTTTACTGGAAGTTTACATGACACCTTATGTTGATGCTTTACCTTGCGTTTATACTTTTTGTCCATACACATATTCAGAGACCAAATATTCCATTGTTACTTGTTATATGTTTCCTTGTCGTTTCATTACACGAACTGCTGTAGCATTTCTTATTTAAAAACTATCTGCTCCTCCTCCTTTTTTTCCCAATAATGATAAGTTTTTGTTGCCTCATCCTAAATTTTGCTTCGTGAAAATCATTTTATTGTTGATCATTTTTAACTAGGAGCCTTTCTAGAATAATGATTTTAACAGAAAATTGGCACAAAAGTTTTTCTTATAAATATATAGGAAAATATGAAGAACAGATGAAGCTCAATGGATCAAAATCATAGTACAACAGTATATAGGATAAAATGGCATTTTTTTCTTTTTAGAGACATTTTGGAGCATAGCCAAGCGAAGAGAAAATCGGGATGCCAATCTCAAAGGTTGTCCACTAGCATGGCCATATGCTCTACTTAGATTTATGGATTTGGACAAGTGATTTAGTATGTGGATCAAAACTTGTGTTATGTTTCCTTAAACCTGCTAATTGTATTGGAGTCCGTCCAGGCAGTTGAAAATGGGTTCCCAATAGATGCCCACCATGGTATAAAATACTCTACAAAGTTTGGACTAAATTTTCTTCACAAGTATGAAATCCTCTTTTATCTTGGCCAAATTTATCTGCAGAAGTTTCGTTCAAAGAGTTAAAGACAGAAAATGTGCCAAGTGTGAGCATCTACTGTTTGTTGGTGGAGGCTTGATGAGTAAAACCTGAGAGGTCTGAGTGCCAAAATATGAAAAAGAATATAAGGGAAGTGGTATGAAGTGGAAAAGGGAAAAGTAGGGTTTGGCAGGTCAACTGGATCTGTATGGACCAGTAGTATTTGAACAGGTTTTCAAACCATTTTTTGGTAATTTGTTTTCAATTTCGTCCAAACCGAAGTGAACCTGCCTATACATCCATTTGTGAAAGTGTGATATTTGTAGCCGCCAAAATTTGTTAAGTCTTCACAAGTTTCTTATAAAGGATTATCACGTGGCCTTGCTCTGAGTCATGCCTCGAAATGCTTTCCATATCGATGGCACCATTTTTAGTAGTTAATATTGTCTCTTATGTTATTTTCCATCAAGCATAGTTGGCAACAAAAAATTGGTTCTTTCTGAAACTTGATACCAAAACTTACCCATTTTTTCCCCCATGCATTGGCAGGGAAAGACGAACTTTTTGGGCAATTTTTTGGTGCTCTGGAAAAGATTCATTATTTCAAAAGCATGCCTGATGGAAAAGATGATAACGCGCAGCTGGATAGAGCAACACATATATTTCACAATGCTGTGGATGTAATGTGCTATAAACTAAACTCTTGGTGCCCTACGGGGGAATATAGAAAGCTTTATGCACATGAATAACTTTTGTTAAGTAAACTTATAATTACTGATCTATCACTTGCTTTTTTCTCTCTTCATTTTTTACTTAGTTATTAAAGAGAAATTTCTCACCCGTTAAGCATGTGGTTAACGTTCAGGTTCACATATCAAATGGAAATCCAAACTTTCCCCAGTGCATTTCAAACTATCATCTTTATGTGTATTAGATTCAGTTTCAGTGTTTTCCAATCATTATGCCATATTTTCCTAAGTTTAGCCCTTTAGTTCCAGATAAGTTGGTAACTGGGAACTTTGTTGGGGAAGCACTGGATTGTGGTAATCTCTTAGATTGTTTTTGTGGTTTTTATTTCATAAGCAATAGCATCTAAGATTTTAATTCAATTTACATTATGTTGTATTTACACGGGCCACGGGCACGGGCACGGCACGAGCATGGTGATTTAAATTCTTAAAAAAATTAATTTTTTACTTTTTAATAAAGGACACACACATGCCATGCCATATCGAACACTTTCCTAGGAGATGTCCATTGAAGTATCCTTCGAGCGTTAGAAATATAAAGAATAAATAAGTTTAAAAATAGGACATGGCATGTGACTTAATGAACCCATGACATGGAGGGTCCAGGGAGTGTAGGTATCCAACAGGCACTAAATGTGTTTGACACGGACACGTTGCCTTAATAGAAGTGTCTGTGCACGATAGATTTGTCAATGTTCATGAGCTTTAGCTTTCACGTGATAAGTAGAAAATGTAGGCACTATGACTGTTCTTTTCCTTCAGATGCAGTCTTAAGATTAGGCCTTTCTGTTTGTTGGGAGAGGAAAAATACCCTTTTTAAACCTGCCTACCCAAGTTCACAATATAAAATGATCAATGAATACTTTTGCACTGTAATAGTTATTCAGATATCGTACACGAACATTTTCTCTTTTTGTATTTGATGTTCTCTGGTGAAGGAATAGATGTCATGTTATTATGTTGACTTTCATAGTTTATTTAATTTTTGGGCATGAATTGTTCATGTGAACTTCACTAGTAAATGCATTAAAATAGTGCTTTCTGCACTATCCCTTGTTGTATACATTCAAGATCTTCACCTTAATTTCATTTGTTTCCAATAGAGTGCACATAGAATGCATACACTGGATGGTAAATTTTTCCATACGTGCAATAAAATCTTATTAATTCCATATCCCTATATTCTGTATGATGAATTTACCTTTTATATCCCTCACATTCTGGTAAATTGGCCGTGATTGATTGGTGTCTGATGGCATTGAATCTTGTTATGCTTATTATTCATGAATAACTCTTGATGGGGGACGAACAAATGTTTTAGGAAATGCAAAAATCAGGGTGTGAGAGAGATGACCTGAAAAACTTGGCAGAGACATTAAAATCACAAGGTACTTTCTTTGGTTGTATGTGTCTATCCAAAATTCCATTTCCTTTTTCTCTGTTTATCTCCATATTGCCGTCTTCGTATTAGCTGACAACTCTTTCTGTTTATCTGATAGTTTTTTCATAATTATTTCCTTATGACAATGTCTTCAAATGGAGATGTTGTCATTGTTGTAAATCAATGAATTTTTGTGCCATAGAAATTGTAACGCAGCTATTTTGGCAAAATAAAATAACCTTTTGCCTCTATATTTCATCCTTACTGCAACCTATCAATTTTTTTTTAAGAATTACCATGATTTATGGTGGACCTATTTGTGTTGTACTCTTTCGAAGTTTTCTTGTGTAATCTTTTGACTTTTCGTTCTTTGATTGTGTTAGTACTAATATTTTATATCTTCCCTTATCAAAGAATAGTAGAAGTATGATGATACTTAGCCCCCTATTCGGTTCTTCTGTTTCAAAGTTCTCGTCTGAATTTAAAATTTTTGGTTGTGTTAATACTGATTGTTAATTTATTTCATCTTTTCAACTTTGCAGGTAACAAGGCTATGCAATCTAAACTATATAATGAGGCTATCGAGCTGTATACTGTTGCTATTGCGCTGTGTGAAGATAATGCTGTTTACTATTGCAACAGGTGCAACATAGTCCCACATAATTAAAATCTGATTCATGCATTTTATGTGAAAACCTTGGTGTTGGTTGTGTCAGAGCTTCTATCTTGAAAACCTAGGGACTATAAGCTCTAGAACATGATACCAATCTGATATTATTAATATTATGTAGCACCACTAATTAGTTGTGACCTTGATTCACACTGACAAATATATTGGACTGGGAAGAATCGTACCACTGGACTTAAATGATGGGAATATTACGGCCAGGAATAAAGGATTAGCACTTAGACCTGTGGACTTATTGGATGTTCTCATTTGTTGTTAATCCTGAGTACTCATGATACCTGTTTCATCAATTTTTACTTGGTAACTTAACTATATAAAATGGTATACAAGAGCTTAGTTTTTTCATTCTTCTCTTTTATAGTTCAGTTTTGCCACTTCCTTTGTCCTCTTTCCATTGAGATCCATTTCTTGTATTTTCTTCTCTTTTATTTGTTTTGTCCCCCTCTTTTTCGGGTTTTTTTTCGTGGTGGTGCACTCACCATGGCAACTTATGATGTCCTATTCTTTCTTTATTCTAAAGCCATTTTTAGATTTGTGTTTAGAATTCTTGTAAATTGATCATGCATAAACTTATCAGGGCTGCTGCTTACACCCAGATGCTCCAATATGCTAAAGCAGTCCATGATTGTCTCAAATCCATTGAGATCAACCCTAATTATAGCAAGGCTTACAGTCGGTTGGGATTTGCTTATTATGCTCAGGGGAAGTACAGGGATGCAATCGACGAAGGATTTATGAAAGGTTTGTTGGTGATCAATTGAAGAAACCATATTGTTTTCGAGCTAGTACAATAATGTGAAATAATGATTTTACTTAGAATAGCTGATATGCTTGTGTGCAAACTTTCCATGCCGTGCGTCATATACGTATTGTGATGCTTGGATTCTTTTGCATTTAGTAGTCCATTTGTTCTCATATCAAATACTTAAAATAAATCATTGTTCTAGATAACAAGTGATTTTATGTGTTAAGTAATATTAGTTAATCATGGGAGCGCAGAAAGGTTGATCAATGTGATAATCTGATCTCCTTTCCTTCGTCGAATAAACACCTCTTTCCCCTTCCTATTTATCGATCATACTTTTAGTTTTTGTAAAATAACTTACGAAGAAAGTCCAAATTCTCATCTCATTCCTTCACATTTACAGTTTGTGACTATGGATGAAAATTTCATAGTAGTAGAGCATGAGAAGGTCCTGGATACAAGTCTCACCACACACAGTTATGATATTCTATGTGACATGCATCTTTTAAAATATGAATTTGGTTTGTACACGAGGAGATGCGTTGAAGATATAAATATAAATTAGTAAATTAATTGTCTCCCAAACAACTTTCAAGTTTTTAGATGGGGTGGTTCAAAATACCAAGGGACATAGGAAATGGGAGATGGAGTACTTGATTTAACCATTTAAATATTAGTTAAATAACTTTTACATAGTTTCTAATGATGTGAACCATAAATCCTTTTGAAGAACTTAGGAGGTTAATATTCATAAATGGTAAATGATATCCCTATTTTATTGTCCTAGAGGCGAGTGATGTGAATCACTAAGAGTTTATTGGTCAAATCCTGAATCTATATGATGCTATACATACTAATGTTACTGTTGCTGTACACCACCTGCTTTAGACCCTTTAGTCCACAAGACGATCTATAAGTATTGGAAGTTACACCTTCTGACTATCATTTCTCTGATAAAACTCTACAATTCAACCAAAGGGGAAGGAAGTAACATAGAAGAGGTACATAAGTAATAGAATTGAGGAAAACATTTTTCGATCTGTATAAATGTGTATTCATAAAAGAGGCTCTCAGCCTAATAAATAGATATCTTTACCTCTTTCAACAGCCCTACTATTGTCAAACTCGGGACTCCATTTGGTATGGTCCCTAAGTCTTCTCTATATGTATTAGGTAAATGAGGGAATGTTCCATATTTGGTAGAGAGGAAAAGATGAAGTGTTGGAAAATTGATATACAGGAATTTAACTATTAGGTGTCAGTTCCTTGATGTCTTCTGCCCTTACCCCCTAGTTTTTTCTTCTTTTGTAATTCCTGTTCAGAGCACTTGCCTTCACCAATTGCTGCTACTCAAACAACTATATCACTCGTGATTATTATCCAAACATGGCGACTTTGTATTGCAAGACTAGTATCTATCTCAGCCTCTCCTCTCTCTCTCTCTCAAGATCAACTTCTTAGTCCACCATGTAAGTTGTTGGCTCTGCACCTTTGGAGGGTTATCTACTTGACAATCGTGGCATAGATTCAATTGGAGACAAATGTTCTCCCTCATGATGGAAGAATTTCGTGATGCATGTGTGTCAACTTGCTATGCTTGGGCACTTGGTTCCTTCATCTCCAGTCAACGTACCTTTAGTACTTAACATATATAGAGGTGAACTAGAGTAGGAGAGGATGGTTGAAAGGCTTGAAGCAGTTACTACCAAGTTATATATGAGAATTGAAATATTTGAAATTACCCCAGTTAATTGTGCGAAAAAATTGTCATTTCTGATGTGAATATTATGTTTCTGGCAGCATTGCAGTTGGATCCTAATAATGATTCTGTCAAAGAAAATATTCGGGTTAGTTAATGAATATTATTGAAAGGATTGTCTTATATAGTTGTTTTAATGTTTTGTTTGTTGTTTGAAATTCTAGGTTGCCGAACAGAAACTGAGAGAAGAGCAACAAAGGGCTGGAAGTGACCAGGTACTAATTTTCTGCAAACCCCCTTCCACCAAAGGAAAAAAAGAAAGAGAGTGAGTAAAATGCTGGTCAAAAAGAGCTTTATACTACTTTATATACCAAAAATGAATACTGTAGAAATTGATTGTCAATTTTAATGGTGGTATTTTAAGAATTGAACTAACCACGGTTTTCACTTCAAGAATATAGATCCCATTTCGTCTTCTAGATTCAATTGCATATTCAAACACCATAGAAGACATCAGATTTTTGTGCAGTTGGACACCTGCATTTGTCTTTCTGCAGAATTCGTAAATTTTCTTTCATTATGTTCCAAGTTATTCAGTGGACTTCAATTTTATTCACATTGGTCATTGAACTTAAATATTGTTACACTTCAATCATTCTATCCATATCCTTTAGTTTGACTAACAGGAAAGCCGACGTGGTAGTCTATTTGACGGCCTAGTCAGCAAGTTACTATACTGCAGTGTAACCTTTTCCATTTTTGATATTACTAGACTTGGATGGAGCAACCAAATTGTAATGAATTTTAACTTACTGTGATACTATTTTCATGGACAGGGCTCAAGTTCTGGGAATCCTCATGGATCCGGAGGGGGATCGAGGGGTCCTACCCCACCACCACCATTTACATCCATGCCATTTAATATTGATGGTCTTCCTGCCGATATCACAAGCATGCTTACAAATATGGCTACCAATGCATTCCAAGGATCACATTTTCAAAACGGGCCTGAACGTGATAGTGAATCTGATGCAACCAATGAGCCGGGAATCAGAATAGGTGGTAGCATTAATGTTGGTGAAATTCCCGAGGAGATATCGGGGGCTTTAAGGTCTGTGATGGGGATGTTCTCAGGAGCAGCACCTGAAACGAATCCACAAGATAACATCAATGGAAGATCTGCTCCAAGATGAGGTATCTGTTTTCGACTGAAGAAATTGTATAATCCTCATCTTGAGTTCATCATTCCCCTCAACATGGCCCTGAGGACGCGGAATTTGAAGTTGCCTCAAATATATATATATTCTTGTATGTATATTTACAGGGAGCAATATGGGATGGCTTTTTGGAGAGAAAATTTTACTTTGATGTATTTAAAATCCACATTTCACTTGCAGGCAGTATCTGGATTTATACAGTGTTCTTGTAGATAATCAACTATACAAGTATCCTCTCTTTAGTATTGCCCATTTCTTAATGGAATGTTGTTTAGGTCTAGATATTAATTCTATGCAAATTCTTGTGTTGTGTCTGAGGCCACCATCAGATTCGCTGCTCGAGTATTTCTTGTAAAAAATTCCGACTCCAAATTTTTCTAGATTAGTCTTTTCATTTAGGATTAGTCAGTTCTATTTTAAGACTGAGACAGATAAATTATACGATTAATAGGAGTATAGATTTGTAGTCAGTTTCTTTTTTCAAGTTCTATTATCGTGCTAACTTCTTGCTATAGTCGAATAATAATCATATTAGAAAAAGACACGCGAGTTAAATTATTTTTTTAAGTAAAGCTAGGTTAAATGATCCAAAAACACTGTTCTTTTCAAGTATTATTTTTATTAAATAATTTTGGATGTCAAACAACAGTTGGAAATATATAGGGAGTGCCATTTCCCTAGAGTTTGTTGCCATAGTCAAGACTCGAGTCTTAACCTCTGTGAACATGTATCATCACAGGATGCACTAGGAATGGCTAGTTGGAGTGGCAAATTACTTATGTTTGATTCGCTTTGTTAGTGGGAAGGCTAAGCCCTCTTTATTTGGGTTCAATTGAGCCGAATTGCAAGTTGATGATTTATATTGCTACATCTTATTTTACCTTACCCTTATCCTCGTCGTGAAATAGAGGTTATGACAATGAACCACAAAAAAAGAAAGCCAAAATATATCAATATATGTGCTAAGTACATTGGGAATGTGAAGTCCTAAAGTTCCAATTACATCAATATATGTAATGAGTACATTGGTAATGTGAAGTCCAAAGTTCCAATGCCAAAAAGTGGTCATAGTATAGATGTTGATATGGATGTTTATTTAATTACCCAACTAAAATTACACATACCATCTAAATTAGTGGACCATTCCTCAATATACATGCATATATACATATATATATATATATATGGAAAGAGACTGATCAGCTCTCTCTCTCTCACACACCCCCACTGCAGACATACATTTTCTTGTCATCTCATTATATTTCGCACACACACACTGCTGCTTCTGAACTTGGGAGTAAAATGAATGAATATAGGGATGACAAAACATGGTGCTATATGCATCCAAAAGAGGAGGTTGTAGGGGTGTGTGCTCTATGTTTGAATCAGAGGCTTTTAGTTTTAGCTTCAAAGCAATCAAAGTTGAAAGGCAGCGACAGAAATTATAGTGGCACATACAGAAAATATTCTGCAACACTCCCAAATTTATTTGCTCTGAGTAATCTGCTCAATAGGCATGATTTTGGACAGCACAAACCCCAGCCTTATTACAGTTCCTCTACCAGTCAAGAAGGTTAGATCAGAGTACATTTTCTGCTTTTTAATGGCACACACACAACATGTACATGTTGGGGAGTGGGGGTGGGGTGGGTGGGGGTTTGAATGGCCAATAGAGTATGTGCTTGCTGTGACATTTGGATTGCATGAACATAGGTAGAAAAAAATAGTTGCATGAATTATTTATGATGAAAATATTCAATATTAAATCAGGAAATTAGAATTATTATGTGGAGAAATCTAAGTTGCATAAGGAATAGAGATGTATTCTGCTATAGTACATTCTACTTACCAACCAAGCATAAGTATTAGAAACAATTAATCAAGATTAGTAGATTAAGAAATTGAACATATATATATATTTTTTGATACATGATAACATGAACACAAAATTTGGCAATAAAACCAGGTGGTTTTATTCTTATTTTTTAGTTTGATAATTGTAGTTTAATGACACAATGTATGCTACATTTTTGGAACCAATTTAAAATTAATAGGACTATCGATTCATTGGTATTGTTATGGCATTAATTTCTTCCCTAACTTTTTAATTTATCCTGTTGAGAAATTATAAAAATATGATTTTGCATATATTTTTTTGGGTAACAAGCACACTCGTGAAAAAAAGAGTTTGGAATTCGACCTCCCATACCTTGTACATTCTAAAAAGGTGAAATTTGCGAGTTCATGCACCATCGAGACCAACAATTTCAAGAATTACATTAAATCATTTATCTATTATCTCCTACGCGTTCTAACTTAAAAAGTGTTGGCATTGTAGATTCCTTCATATCAATCAAGTTTGAAGACAATGGTGTTGCTTCATGGGATAAAGATCCAATCTCCAAAATGTCACTTGATCAGCAATGTGAAATGTCTTTGAACCACAACTTGAGCAAGGTAAAAATCAAGAGTGTAGTCGAACATTCGAAACCGCCTCCGACACTGAGGTGGCGAAAGCCGATTGGACATCTTTTCAAGCTCATCAGATGGAAGAAGTCCAGTAAAGGCCATGTGGGCACAAAGTTGGAAGGGACAAAGGTCAGAATTGGATGGTTAAGAAGTCTGACCAAAAAGAGGACCAAAGAATAAAGGTACTTTGTAAAGAAAGAGACCCTTGAGCTTTTCCTCCACTACTCAACACATTTTATCTGTTGTGGCTGGTTCTCAGCGTGAATGTAAAGCAATTGTGTTATTAATAAAACGTGTATTTGAGACGCATCTAGCTCTAAAAAGGAAGAAAGACTTGTCGAAAATAGCCAGTTGGGTTGGTCCAATTGCTGTTTTCCTATCTCTAAAGAATCTTTTCAGTGCCATGGCACTTTCATTTTAGGGGCGAGCCAAATGAACATAACTTCGATACCAAGAGTCCCTATCCCCTTGACTGTCCCACCACTTATGTCCTGACACGTCATCGTTAGTTTGTAGTGTCAATTTAATGAGACACAATGCAGTACTTAAGAAAAAAACATAAAAACCTACGTCCCATCAAGTTTGAAGACAATGTATATATACTTGACTCAAATGTTTTGTTAAAGAGTGTTTTAAAACAAGAATGAGTTGACAGTTTTTGTCTAAAAGTGAGCACTTTGAAACTCTTAACACTTTGTATAAAAAGGATAGTTTAACAACAAATTAAAAAGCCATGTATTAGGAGGCACTTCTGCAAAAGGAAAAAGACATAAGCCCATTTTTAGTTGCCCCAAGCAAGGAAACATTAAAGCACAATGGCCATATTATTCTGCAAAATCTAGTCATTTTGTTGTCTTTAGGAAAGGAAAATAAACTGCTTTTCTTTGTAGAGCAGTTGAATTATGATCAGTATAATCTGTGTTGAACCATCTTGTCTAAAAAATTAAGATATTAGAAACGAGATAAATTTATCAATTTAAACTTTGTCTAACACCTGCCTTTGTATACATGTCGGATTCATTTTTTCATCAAAACCTGACACGAGTAGAATTTTATAAATGGATGGCGACAAGATCTGAATTGATAACTTTACCTTCTCTTCTAATACTACGTTAAACCACAAGATTTGTCTCACACAATACATGATTAATATGGAATAAGTTGTAGGGAGAGAAAATCGAATGCTTGATTGAGTATGCATGATAATAATATAATACATGCTCTCCTCCTCAAAAAATATGGAGTATTTTTGAAGTGTCCAAAGATGATTATTCATAGAGCTTGCCCTTTATCCCCACAACTGCAGAATGGCTTGCATGTGCAACTGACCCATTGGTGTCTTAGTTTTAGTTATGTCATTATATAGTAAGAAAGAAGCCACTAGGACAATATGTCCCCTATGTTGGCTCTACCTAGCCACGAGACAACTATTATAGGACCACTAAATATGCATAAGAAAAATGATTTTGATGAAAGGTATGAGAGGATATGCGAACCATTTTTAGATGGATTTTATTGTACTTCAATTCTAAAGTAATAAGAGGCTACAACACGGTTACTTCACTTATTCTATCCAAAATTCTCTAGTTCTTTTTCTCTAATCAATTTGTGTGTAAGATAATTAAAAAAAAAAAAAAAATTCCTTGAGAATGTAACCTGCCCAAAAAGGTGAGGGTAGTCATAAAATTGCAGAAAAACAAACACAAATTAGTGTAAACATAGTTCGCATTAGTCCCTCGAGGTATAAACCTGGACAAATAGCACTCAAAGCGTAAATTTTGAGACGCTTTATGAAGGCCTCTCGTGAAGAGCACCCGAGGGTTAAAACAACGACGACACTATTTACCATTCTTAGAATGGATTATTCCATCCCTTCTAAAGATATGCCTCCATAAACATAGTACATGGTTCCTAAGATAAAAAACAAAGAAGCATCCCAAGAACACATTATATCTAATGCAGAAAAGTTGAGTAGAAAACAACAGTAAGAGATAGACAAGTAAAGAGTTAGTGAATATGACTCCTCAACCCTATCATCCCCCACAAATCAAGAAAATGTGGGTGGAATAATGAAGGGCAGCACCTTTTATTACTTAATCATTTCACAACTAGATCCTTTTGCAAGCTCAAGTTAAAGTCCACATACTTTATGAAGCACATTGATTTGACCATCAATACTTGTGCAAGGTATGTTGGGCACACAGTATTCAATAGCATTGTTTCGTCATTAAGCATTTTCCCCCCATGTACAGAAATATTCCCACAGAATTTCACCAAAAAAACTCAAAATGAGTGGACCCCCATCGTGTATTAAAAAAAATTCCGCAGGACCCCGTGTGTGTGTTTTGGTGAAATTCTGTGGCTTCTGCTTCTGTACAAGCAGTAAAGCTCCGTCATTAATCTTATTTCATTGCTTTCCAATCCGGCCTACAAAATGTACGATATTGGACATTATTGTAGAGCATAATAAATAACATTTTTGCAATTCAGTCATTAATCATAAGTTATATTTAACGTGGTCCAATCTAACATATCAATAAAGTTTAGTTAAATAGTACCTACCTAGACTTTGGACCAACTGGTAGGCCACTGAAGATGGTCTTGATTCCTTCCTTTTCCTATTTTTCCTTTGATTTCACTTCAAGCAAACAACAGTCCACATGGTATGATTCTTCAAAATCAATCTTTTGAGTCTGAACTGCAATGTTATCTGTGGTTGATAAGAATTCAACATGATCTTTAAAGTGAGAAAATTAAAATAAATTTACTATTTATTTACGCAAGAAATACCCTCTCCACAAGAAGAGTAATGCTATGTGTACGTGTCGAAAAATAGGATTTAATTAATTTGTTTATTGACAAAAATGTAATAATTTTGTTAGAACAAAAATGCATCGGTGTTTTAGGAATTATCTTTGTAGCTTGCTTTATAAAACTCCTTTACGCCGTTCTTCTTGATTCCACCCTCAAACCTTTTGATCTTCTCTGCAGGTGTTCTTCAAGAACCAAATAATAATAATAATAATAATAATAATAATAATAATAAATGCAAGAAGTTATATGGGTGGCCACAATAAAGAAAAAAACATTGATTGAACCTCAATATCGGACATGACTTGAATATGAAATCATTCCATAATCATTCCTCCCCAAGCGTCCATTTTCCTTAATTGTAGGGAATTCCTTTTCCCACCATTTTGGTGGGAGAAGAAAATTCCAAGTTCTGCCCAATTTTTTTTTTTTAAGCAATGGAAACAAATTTCATAACCAAATGTA